GGGGGGGGGGGGGGGGGGGGGGGGGGGGGGGGCTGGAGGAAAGAGGCATCACTAATTAGATGTGCATTTTTAATAACGTTAGAGTCTTCTGCTTTTTGTTTTAGGAAATTTGATAACATTTACATTGGCTGGGGTCACAAATACAGTCCAGAAAATTTCAACCCTACATTGCCACCTCCAGTGCAGCTAGAATATATTATTGGACCTGAAGTCACTGAAGGCCTTGATCCAACTGTGGAAGAAGAGATGACACTCAAGGTTGCCCAAGAGGAGGCACTGGAAGCAGAAGAAATGGAAGAAATGGAGGAAGAGGAAGACGAGGACGAGGATTAAGCTCAAAAATTCTGTTATAGTTTTGTTAAGGATAAACTTTTTTACAAATGTATTCTAATACTGTATTCTGTAAAATACATTGATGGTTTGTAGTAACTTTGATGAGTAAATGAAAAATAAAACTCTGAAATAGTTTTTTTTTTTTTTAAAAGAAAGCAGTTTGAAATAGCAATAAATCTCAATTTTGAATGAAATTTGTTTCCAGCAGTTGTGATGTATCACCAAGATGAAAAAGAGTAATGTTTAATAGCTTATTAACTATTTTATTTCAACAAGGAAACAATTTATTAAATATGGTACTGGTGGCAATCTTAGATAACTCACAAACCTTGCTTAAAGCCAGATGCAGTAAGACAAAATGGCGATACTGTGTGTTCATAAGCCAGTTTTTCACAAATATGATATGTCAATACCATCCATGTTATTCCAAAGAAAACATATTTTACACAAATACTTGCCATCCTTATTTTCCAACCTCGTCATCTTGAACATCTTTGCCCTTCCTTCCTTTTTCTTTCTTTCTTCCAAAGGCAATACATAATCAATCATAGCCATATTTAATTTTTGATTTCCTTACAAGGTTACTTCAGATTAATAGAGTTGGAAGGGACCTTGTAAGTCAGGGGTGTCAAACTCAAGGCCCAGGGGCAAATCCAGCCCATGGGGTGCTTAGATCTCGCCCAGGGGACTGCCCTGGAAAGAGTGAAGAACTGGCCCGCAGTGCCTCTGCCAGCGAAAACGGACCTCCCGAGCTCCATTTTCACTGGCCGAAGGTTGCAGGAGGCCATTGCAGCCCAAAATGGAGTTCAGGAGCCTGGTTTTGCTGGCAGAGTGCTCGGGCCACCACAGGCGCCCCCAACACAAGCCATGTCAAGCTGGCACTACCCACTCCGGGCCTCCAAGATCAAACCCAACCCTGATGCAGCCCTCAATGAAATCAAGTTTAACACCCCTGTTGTAGGTCATCTAGTCCAACCCCCGCTCCAGCAGGAGACCCTACACTATTTCTGATAGATGGCAGTCCAATCTTTTCTTGAAAGCTTCCAGTGATGAAACTCCCACAACATCCGAAAGCAGCTTCTGTTCCATGGGTTGATTGCTCTCACTGGCAGAAAACTTCTCCTTATTTCCAGATTGACTCTCTCCTTGCTCCATTTCCATCTGTTGGAAGAAATATCAATTCCAAGCGGGGGGAAAGACCCCGGAAACGTGGAGGTGGGGGCCCAACAGAGGGTATATAACGAAGGGTCTCTCGGCCCCTTGGCCCTTCTTTTCCTTCACCCAACATCCTGAAGCACCTGATGGTCCTTTTCACTTTGACGCTCCAAGCCATGGGGTCCTGTCCATCCTGAAAGCATCTTTCCAAGCAGCCTCCACCTTTCCAGTGTCTTTTTCCCCACTTGGAACTGAATCCCGAAGGATATTTCTTCCAACACATCCATCACCTGGACTACCACACTTTGTATCCCCGCCCCCCCATCTCATTACAACCGCATTTCCATCTGACCCGTTTATGCCGATGCAACCGATTGGGGCCTTCGGGGTCTCTTTCATCCCGCAACCCCAGATTCACGCTTGGCCGTGGTCAGTGGGAGCACCGTGGTTTGATTTAGCGAACCACGATGCTTCCCCTGACCATGGCTAGAGCCTGGTCCATGAACGCAGCCATTGTTTCCAATTTGGCAGCTGACCAAAGAAGCGGAGACACGACCGGGACCCCGGGCTCGTTTTGCAGGGTTTAAACCGAAGGCCTCCTTCAGCCAATCAGCGTCCGCTTTCGCGGTTCTTCGGCCTTCTAAGGCCCGCCTTTTTAACTCTATCCCCAACCGCCGGTTTTTTGTTTTTTAAAGGCAAATAATACGAAATATAGATAGATATACATATATCGCCACTCATTTTTCACGTTTCTCCTTCCTGGAAGAAAAGCGACCGGAATCCATACCGCATGGACTTCTCCTCTAATAATGATTAATTCCATCCCGTTTCTTCCTTTCGCCCTTGGCGACCCACCCACCCCTCTCTGGAATAATGGTTCAGTCCGCCTTGGGAGGAACTTGGTCTTGCCTCGCCAACCGACCAATCGGAAGCGCCCTGGGAGAAAATTTAAATACGGAGGCTCCGTTGGGAAAAGAAAAGACCTTTAGAAGCCAGGCGGCGGGAGGGAAGAAGGGGGCGTTACCGTTTGCGTGAGAGTGCGGCCGCTCATTGCGAGGTGGTTTTAGTTTTATTATTAGTATTATTATGGTTAGATAGGGGTTGCCTTTTTTTTTCTGATTTGCTCTTTCGGGGTCGCCAGTTTTGTAGCTCCGCTTTTCCTCCAGTTCAATGTAGCATTTGTAGTACGGAGCTTATGAAAGTAAGTTAAAGGGAGAGACGGAGAAGGAAGGAACTGACCTTATCTAATGTAGAGGGAGGAATAATTAATAATAATAATAATTAATAATAATAATTAATAATGATAATTAATAATAATAAATAATAATAAATAATAATTAATAGTAATTAATAATAATAATAATTAATAATAATAATAATAAATAATATAGAGAGGGAATAATAGGATTCTCCTTTCCAATTTTCCCTTTCATAGTAGGAGCTTATGAAAATAAGTTAAATGGAGAGACAGAAGGAAGGAAGTGACTTTATCTAATCTAATGTATATAAGGAGGGAATAAATCCTACACCCCCATCCTCCTTCCAGGGGTCAGTATAGTGAAATGTTTAATATTAAACTGTGATCTGAATGTCTGTAGGGATTCTCAGTCCTTCAGGTCTTGGTTGTCCCAAAGGTGCTTTTTCAGGAGGTGTTGAGGTAATTCCCCATTAGGAGAATGAGCGCATACAGGGAGACGTATTTGAGAGAAGTGTTGGAATAATACACAGTACACAGATACACTGTAGAGTAAATGTGGGTTTTTACTTCCAGAAAGGTTTAAGCAAAGTCCAAAATAAGCAGTCCAAAGTCATTCACAAGTTGAATCAGTCAGTTTTCAATCCAGTAACAAATTCCAGTGTCAAAAACAGTTCAGTATCAGACTTACATTAAATCCAATAATATCAGTCAATTAGAAGAAATGGAGCAACGGCAATACTTTCCAACAGAAGGAAACAGAGATACTCAACTCAGACACACTCTCTTCTGAGACTAAGACTAAACAACCCAGGTTTCTGGCTCCATCTTATGGCTGTTTGAGAAACCACACCCAATTGCATGGTCTTGCATTCCCTTAAAGATATAGTACTAAAATGTTTATCCTGGTTTATATATTTCTAACCCAAATACCTGTTAGGTGACTCATATTCCTAACAGGAGGCAACTGAACTTTCTGGTTTTTTCTTTTGAAAACGTTTCACTGCTATGATCTGAATGATTAGGATTTGGGTCTGACCTGTCTGTTCTATCTCGTTTTCCTGAAAAGGCTTCTCTGTCTGAAATGCACTCATTATGGAGAAAATCTATCTGGTTACTAAGAATCAGCATGGACTTGATGGTGCCTAATCAATCTGAAGTGCACCAGAAGAGTCCTAATTTCCATTATTTATTTTATTTATCGAATTTATATTGCTGCCTATTCGCCCATGGCGACTCGAGGCGGCTTACAGAATGTAAAACCATATTTAAAATAAAAAACAATAAAAACTAACAAAAAGAATCAAATAAATTAATAAAGTACAATAGAACAAAACCTGGGGGAAAAAATCACCCCCCAACTCCCACCCCCTGCCCCGACGACAACAGATCACATGAGCCATTTGGTGGTCTCCATCCCACTCTGGGTTCCCCAGGCCCGCTGGCAGAACCAGGTCTTCAGTGCTTTCCGGAAGAGTATTAGAGTGGGGGCCATTCTAATCTCTAAGAATAATAAATAACAATAATCTTATTCCCATTTATAATTGGGTAAAACTCTACTCTTTCTCATGTTAGTTTACATACCAGCTGAGAGTGTGGTATGCATTTTTTGATTTCAGAAACTACAAACCTTGTGTGTGGATGAGATCCACAAACTGTTAACACTCATCAAGGGGCATATTAATTTTTAAGGAAAAGGTTTCTCTTTATTCCTGAAATAATCTAATGACCTGAAAACCCGATTCATTCTTTCAGAGAAAATGAAGATCTTGTTGATGAAAAAGGACAGGTTTCATGGAAAAGTGAAGACTGCACTGTATCACAAATAGATGGAACCAACTCGTTTGTCTTTGGTAAGCTCTTGATAACTCCTGATATGTGTATTTGTGTGGTTTTCAGCATGAGTATATGTAAAGTAATAGGAGAATTTACGAATGGAATGTCTTGATTAATTAAAATGCCATACTAAATGTAGTAACTAACCTTCTTGATCTTTGTTCATTTTATATGTGTATAGCAGATGCATACTGGTGTTTTTTTTAGGAGAAGCATTGAATATCATTCTTTGTTTTGGTAATCTGTAATCCAGTCTGTTTTTCTGGTGGCTAAAGATAGCATATATGATGGGAAGATATCACTGTTCTTTCTATGCCCAGAACAGTGACTCTTGTAAATGTATGAATGAATAATAATTCTTTGACTTGTTCAATTGCAGTGCGTGCATTGCTACATCTTCTGTAACTAATTGTTCATGTTACATTCAATATTACCTTTCATTTTTACCTCCAAGAAGTAACTGTTTTTTGAATTTATTAGCTCTAAAAACCAGGAGACTATGAATTCTAGATTTGACTAGGGCACAAAAATTGTTTGGGTGTCATTGGCCTTGTCACTTTTTCATAGCCCAATCCATCTCACAGTGTTGTTGAGAAAAGATTAGTAGATAGATAGGATCAGTAGGTTTGCCTACTGATGACAAAAGAAAGGCGAGACAAAAAGCTAATTTATCAAAAAGATGAGTAATTTTCTCTATTGATGCTTAAGCACCGAAGAGCCTGTCTTGGAATATGGTAGATTTTTACAGAGGCCATCATTTTGGTGATATATTTGTCATTTTTCTCTTTGCTGGGCAACCTAGTTGTCTCTTGAGTTTTGCCAATTAACATCATAACTTGCTATGATTGTTGTTCCATAGTTCTGTTTTCAGTAAATTTTTAAAATTACAAATGAGATTTTCCTGTTTAAGTTTTTATCTCTTTTTCGGATTTTCTGCTCTCTTATTTTTCAGCAGTTCCTTTTCTGGAAATTTTCGTATCTTAATTTTTGTTCTTCTGTCTTTGGTGAATTTTCTTACATCTTCATTTTTCCACAGAAAAATGAATATTGTGCATTTCCAGGTTATACTCAGAATAAAAAACTTTATGTATAACCATTAAATAGGATACTATATGAAGGATAATACTTGTGATTCAGCATAAGCCAAATAACTATACAAATGCTAATACTTATCGTACAGCTCATTCCCAATTGTTGTTCATTATTGGCATGATACATCCTCAAGCAATTGGTTTGACTGTGCAAAGTTGCTTCAGCTTACAAAATACTGGCAGTCATTGATTTACCACAATTGAGCCCAAGGTTTGTTTTTAAGGAAGACAAGTGAGTTTTGCTCCATTTTACGATGTTCCTTGCCACAGTAAATCACTACAGTTGTTAAGTTAGTAACATGGTTAAGTGAATGTGGCTTCCCCATTGACTTTGCTCGTTAGAAGATCACAAAAAGTGATCACATGATCCCAGGACACTGCAACTGTCATAAATATGAGTCAGTTATCAGGTGTCCAAATTTTTGATCCTGTGGAGATGCTGTAAATGTTGTAAGTGTGAAAAATGGTCATAAGTTGAGTTTTTCAGTGTCATTGTAACTTCAAATAGTCACTAAATGAATGGTTGTAAATTGAGGAATACCTATACCTATACCTTCCTGGTGATTTTTCAGGGACTGGGCACGGTGTCTACAAATTAAACTTTTTGCTTTCTTTTGAAGATCGTGTGTTCCACTCTAACAACAGTACAAAGGAAGTCTACCAAGGTGTGACTGCTTCTATTATCAAGTCGGCAGTTCAAGGATATAATGGTACTTTGAATAATAACCTTTTGTGTATATTTGTGCATGTGGCTATTAATTTAAAGTAGTCATTCTACTTCTTTTTAGGCACTATTTTTGCTTACGGTCAGATAGCTTCTGGCAAAACGTACACAACATTGGGTACCAAAGATGAGCCAGGTATCCTACCAATGGCAATTGACGATGTTTTTAGTACAATCTGTGGAGTAAGTGATTCTACTGAATGTTTCTATTTCAGCTAACCAATGCTTTTGCCGAAATGGATATGACTGATATTGAAAGTGCATCTGAGTTCCTAGCCTCTCGTGTCAGCATTTTTCAGGCTGTATGTCATGATTGCCATCCCAGAGGCTACAAGAAAATGAATGGAAGGTTATCAGAGAGTCTCACTCCCTCTGGTTTTCCAGCTCCATGTAAAAATATGCTGGGTTGAAAGCAACTTTCCAGAGCCCGTTGTAGAAGCAGTAAATGTTCTTTTAATTTAACACAACTTATGTATCTTTTAAAGGCGTAATCAGGGAGGCTTCTGTGTAAAGTTCTGGTCAACTGACCCAATCTACAGTGTGCACAGAAGATTACTGTGGAAGAGAAAAGAGGCTGGGGTTATATCAAGGAGGCTGCCAGAGCCAAAAGCAAATCAGAACACTTATTGGGAAGTGTGCTCTTCTGCTCACAAAAAGTTGGGGTCATAGTAGCAATAACAGACTTATATATCACTTCACGATGCTTTACAGCCCTCTCTAAGCTGTTTACAGAGTCAGCATGTTGCCCCCAACAATCTGGGTCCTCATTTTGCCCACCTCGGAAGGATGAAAGGCCGAGTCAACCTTGAGCCTTTTGAGATTTGAACTGCTGGCAGCTGGCAGTCAGTAGAAGTAGCCTGCAGTTCTGCACTCTAACCACTGCGCCATCAAAGCTCATATATAATTAACATATTGGAAGGCTAGATAAAGAAATTTGGAGTTTGCTTTCAGTTGTAACTAGCCATACCTGGAAAATAATTTTGCATGAGTGCCCACAATACAGGTTGTTTTTCACTTACACAACCATAATTGGGACTGAAACTTCTAAGCAAGGCAGTTAAGTGAGCCTCCTATGATTTTGTGATTTTTTTTCTGCAGTTGGTAAACAAATATAGCTTCCCACATTGATTTTGCTTGTCGGAAGTTGGCTGGGAAAGTCTCAGTGATCATGTGACCTCCATTATAAACTGCCAATTGCCAAACACTGACCACGGGGATGCTGCAATAGTTGTAAGTGGGAGGATGGCCATAAGTCTTTTTTTTTTAAGTTGCTGTAATTTTGAAAAGTCATAAGTCAGTGACTACCTGTATGCTTTTACAATTCAAAATAACAGCTAAAAGCCTCTTTCACGAAGTTTTTTAGCCGCATAGAAAGAATAATGTTTTAAATTCACTATCTGGGGGAGCACATTCTTGGGACTGTCACAAGTTGAGTTAAAAACCTTTTTGACCACAAAATTCTTATGAAGAAGGTTGTGTTATAAATGTATACATTTGCCTTTCTTTAGCCATGAGTCCTCTAGTGTTAAACTGTCATCATCACTGACATCTAGATGACTTGATGTAATTAGAGGTGTAGCCTAACAAAGAATAAAGCATGGCTAGGAATGCAAATAGGAAAGCTTAGTGATTAATGGCATTAATCTGTGGAACAAGTTGTCTTCAGAAGTATTGGCGAATGTAATATCTCATAATTTTTAGATTCCAGACAGGGAATTCCTGCTCCGTGTATCATACATGGAAATTCATAATGAAACTATACAAGACTTGCTATGCAGTAACATTAGGAAAAAGAAGTCCTTGGTAGTTCGTGAAGACATCAATGTAAGTACATGAGGCTGGACACCCCTAGTGCTGCTCTCCAGCAAGACTATTGCAGGCACTGCCTCGCTAGTCTCAATTACTCTGGGTTGTTCCCAGACTGGCTAGGTTTTTCTGAAGGTTTTATTCATGGTTAAATCAGAGTCAACCATTGAGCCCAGTTATGTATGCAAGTACAAGGCACAATATTCACAACTGATAAAGAATATTGATTGGTATAATAATCGAGTGTTTCATTCTCTTCTAGAGAACAATCTATGTTGAAGATCTGAATGAAGAAGTAGTGGTTTCTCCAGAACAGGTTATGAGCTGGCTGAAGAAAGGAGAAAGTAAGATTTACCGCCTAAAGTTTAAATGAGCATTATAAGCAAATCTCAGATTTCTAGATCTGTTAAAAGTCAGGCCTCTGTACCTGTAAATGAATACATACTGTCTTCAATACACTTTTCTTTAGTGTCTCCTCCCTGCAGATAGATACTCTCCCATACATAACCTGTGTTTCTTGTCCACCTGGGCAACATGCTCATGTATGCTCACGTATACACTTATAGCACTTAGATTTATATATCACCCCATAGTGCTTTAGAGCCCTCTCTGAGTGGTTTACAACGTCAGCATATTGCCTCCAACAATCTGGGTCCTCATTTTACCAACCTCGGAAAGATGGAAGGCTGAGTGAACCTTGAGCCTGTCAGGATCGAATTCCAGAGTGTGGTCAGAGTTTGCCTGCAATACTGCATTCTAACAACTGCACCATTAGGGCTCCTATATAACTTACTTTCTCCGTTCCTCAGGCACACATGCAAACATGTGCATGGAATGAAACCACTATGCTGAATTAGCCATTGGTGGTATAGTACATTTTAGCCCTTTCCTTGAAAATAAAAGAAGAAGAACTTGCTATGTTGCTACCGTTGTAGTAGGAGTGTGATGATCTTCTGTTGTTTGGGGGAAAATAAAGGGCTGCTGTAAGAGTTTCCAGAAAAGAAGTGCAAAGTTGGTGGAGTTGGTTCTTTTATTTCTAACAAAATAACAAGAGTTGGAAGGGAAGTTGGAGGTTGTGTAGGAGTTCAGTGAATATGGGATGTGGGGAAAGGGAGTCAGGTGCATTTGTAGGCACCATCTGCTGAGGTCTATTTTATGGGAAACGAGAATAAGTCAGAAGAGAAAATCCAGTTTTAAGAACAATCTGTATCTAATGTTTCTTCTAAACAGAAAACAGGCATTACGGTGAGACAAAAATGAATGAAAGAAGCAGCCGTTCTCATACGATTTTTAGAATGGTAAGTGATTGCTAATTTTTGTGTTCCTGCCTTCATTTAGTTCATGCCACAGCATTCAGCAGCATCTGCTATGCAGTTAAGCACATTATACAAAATATTGAATGGCACATATCTTCCAAGTAAATAAACCTGGGCTGAAAACCATATACGTAGACTGAGGCACTTCAGTTCTTAGTGACTCCTGTAGGACGAATAAGGCCACAGGTCTGATGAAGAAAATCCTGACCTCAAAGCTTTGGAATTTATAATGATAAATATAATACTCCCTTGGTGATTTTGAGGAGCATGTTCTTTATTTTTATTTGGCCAAACCATAAATCCTGTTTCCAGACAAATGGCTGCTCAATTTTTCTTGAAAACTATATTGACAGAACACCCTTAATTCTAGGAAGCAGACTTGACTGATAGCTCTCAAGATCAGGAAGTTATTTTGAGTTTGGTTCTCTCTGTGTAAAGCTTTCATCCATTGGTTCTTGTCCTACCACTCTAGAGAATCAATCCACATTCCTGCTGATAGTATTTCTATCATATATCCCCTTAGCCACCTTCTTCACACTTTGAATTGGGCTTTATATTCTAACAATAGATAAATAAACTGATAAATAAAATAATCCCTGATGGGGAAGCATATACTAGCATGTTTGTGCAAGGGAAACCTTTACCTTTACCTATACAAATAGCTTCATCCAGTTGTGTTGGGGAGGACTGAACTCTGGGACAACACAGTTTTTGTTTCAGGCTAGGCAAAGTTGGATACTATCCCTCAAGGTAGGGGAAATTAACCCTGTACACACATTGCAGTAAAATTAATGTGATGTGTGGTTTCATTTTGATTTTTGTCTAGCTCTGTTCTCTAATGTATAAAGGTGTTGTTAAATCTGGTTCATGATATTACTTTTTTTTAAAAAGATCATTGAAAGTAAAGAAAAGCATACTTCTGGCTCAAGCTACGAAGGAGCTGTAATGGTTTCTCATTTGGTGAGTTATTTGTATGATGGAACAGGGGTTATAATAAGTGGGATATGATAGTACGCTGATGTAACTTTATAAACATTAAGTAACAGTTATGTTTTGATTTATACTCAGACAGGGTAGGCTAATAAATTTCTAAAATTCATCCTATCAAATTGTTTATATTTTTT